TGAGAGAATTGTAAAAGGGATAAGGTGTTAAGGATGAGGAGAAAACAATGCAAAAACGGTTGAGTCTGCATTCCTGCTGCCAAAGGTCCTGGTGAATGCAGGTGATGACTGAGCAGTTTAGGCACTCCAGTGATTTATTATCTGATAACCACCATAACCCCAATATTACAGAAATGTGTTTTGTAAAGAAAAAAAGAAAAGAAAAAAAAGCATTATTTGACATTTATTTATGAAGGTATTGAATGGGTGGAGTCACACAGGAACTGGTGGAAGAATGTCTCTCACTCCCTCTGAAAGGTTTACAAGAAGCTATTTATAACAAATGATCAACACAATATCTTGTAGACAGATTTTCATTGTAATCTAGTAAACAAAAATGTATCAACCATATTGATCCATTAAATGTTTTAACCAAAGTCTTTTTTTCCCGTTTTATGAATCATATCATAATTTGCATAATGAATTCAATTTTAAATTATTGAGTCATAAAGCTCTTATAAATTTTGCACATCGGTCATTTTGCATCATAGCAAAAATTACAGAATAATTACAAATATATACAAATAAATATATACAAATTTAACTAAACAGAAATGAAAGTAAAAATAAAAGCTAAATCTCAATGTTTCCAATTTCTAATGAGTTAAAAAAAGAGAAAATTAAATAAGATGAAGCTGAGAGACATTAAAGTTAACAGTAGCAGCCGTTGCTGCAATAGTTACCAACACAGTCTCATAACCAGACACAAAATTAGATCCTAAAACTGATTCGTTTCTTTTTATTGTGTCCAGGACAGCTGGACATCGTTTAAGTGTCTTGTTCTTTTATTGTTGTAAAAATATTCTTGTTTAACATGACTTTACAGCTATTTGCTCTGTAAAAATGAAATGTTTACCCAGACATTGCAGCCACACATAAACCATGTCACAATGTTGTGGTATTTTTCTCAACAGCCACAAAGCAGTCTCATTGTGGTTTAGTAGTTTAACATGCTGCAGGGTTTGCTTTTCCCCCAAAGAGACTCACAATTTGCCATAATGCACGCAACTGACATTACATTTTGAACCTTTTAGCAATATTAAATATTTTATGTGTCACTGGGTGCATAGATATAATTTAGAACTTTAACTGACCAAATAGTCAAATTATATAGTATATGTAGCATATTGATAGTACATAGACAGACAGACAGACCAGCTTTTTTTCAGGTATTGAATTTACTTTGCTTTCAGAATCTTTATTATGTCTTTTACAGAATCTGTCTATTATAGTTAACGACAAAGCAATTTGCGTTCCTATTAACATTATATTTCAACTGCCTTTTAGAGAGAATAAATAAAGCAAAGCAAACATATGTTAACTTATATTGCAACATCATTTTCCTTTGCAAAGGAAATCTAATAATTGCCAGGATCAAGATTATAGTCTGTCAAAGACAGACTTTTGCACAGAGCAGTAACAGAAACTTCTGTTGTGCAATGATGTGCAAACTCTGTCAGATTTTAAGCTGTAGATTGAGGAATCAACCTTCCAAAATAAAAAAAAGAAGTATAGATCCCAGAAAAATAACTACTGATGCCCAGGAAGCAGGAATGATATAACTGTTGAACAGTGGTCCAAGACCTGGAGTAAAAAAGTATGACACACATATAGTAAGCAAGAAGAACCACTCAGTCCAGAAAAAGCTTTTGGAAGGAAAATGTTAAAGACAAAGTCAGAATAAATAATGTAATTTGTCCTTAAAAAAACCCAGAACGGCTAATTAAAACACTAATGAATGATTTCATAAAGTAAGGGAATGGAAGTGTCAAAGAAGAGAATCAATAGAGCTGTGCACAGGCATGAACTGTAAAAATGCAGAAACACTCGTTTACCTAATGCAATATGGACAGATAAAGAACAACCTTTCAGTCATTTGATATTAACAGGGTAAATATGTGCATGTTTATAACCCTACTTTCACATTGCTTCATTTATACCTCGGCTCTCTCAGATGGGCATTGGTTGTGAGGTTATACAATGTCATACAATCTGGTAAAGCTGGATCAGAGCTTTCTCTGTTGTGATGTCCTATCGATGCGTCTCTACACCAACCGTTCTACAAGTGTGTGATCTGCGACCTCTCACACATTGACCCACTGCAGTGCACAGCAGCAGTGGTGTGATTCATGGATCAAACATCAGTTTCTGTCGGATAAGATTAAGAACTCTGTTTTTCCCAGCAGGAAGCCGAGAAACAATTTGTATGGAGTCTGAATTTCATTGTTGGAACTTTTTGTATTAAAAGAGAAGCTGTAAGGGAAGTGAGATTGTGGAAACGATTTCAGAAAATGTGAAAAGTATCCCCTATAATTACACAGATGTCTAAGCATGTTTTGTCTGAAGAGATCGCTTCTAAGATTGTTGAAAAACAGATTTCAGAAGAAAACTGCAAAAGTAAATTGGGAATAAAATCTGTCCTCCCTTACTTTGGGGAAATTACTGAGGTTCCTCTTTTCTTTGAAAGGATTTCCTGCTAATTCACGTTGTCTGGTTTTCCTCCGTCTTATTTGAGCCCAACTCCAGAGAACAAGGCGAGTCATGTTGTATTGATCAGAGATGACATTGCGCTGCAGGGAGAAAAAACATCTCAAGCTCACAACATCCAGTCTCTCCAACTGATAGCATGTTGTCAAAGACTCCCTGCTGTCCTCGTATGACTTTTTTATTTATTTATTTTTTTAGCTCTTAGCGATTTAATTTTATAAATCTCCCATTTTAGCAAGTTTCAGAATCAAGTGTACTTTGAAGCATTTAATTTTGGGCATTTGGGATGTCTTATGAGTTATTTCCTTTTGGCTTCTACTTGTTGTGAGGGATTCAGTTCAGTTTATTTAAATACCACAAAGCCACAATGCTGCCTTCATTGCTGAGAACCTCCACATGTAGTGATTGTGCCCTTTGGTTTGAAATGAGATGTTAGTAGAGAGAGATTAAGATGCAGAACAAGGCTCACATTTCATAGTCTTTTTTATTCTTTAGTTTTATTCAAATTGATGTTGGAATAAATCAGAAATCACTGTAAACAAGCAATGCCTTACAGCCAGTGCTAGACAGAGAGGACAGTTCATTTGTGTTGCATATTCTGTCCAGTAAAAGATTTACCTTTTGCTAACTTGAGCCAATGGCTTGACAAGAGTTGAAATTTGTTAAACTTGGATCGCTCTCCATGTTGACGCAAACTCTGAGCCAGTAGATGCAGGATATTTATCAAACTGCTCCACACCCAGTGGAAAGTAGGCAGTGAGCGGGGAAATTGATTTCTTTCAGAGCTAAACACTGCTCCCTGGATCTTTCTGCTCTCTCATTCTTTTTCTTCCTGTCTTTTTCACATGTAGGGAAAGTTCTGCTGTTTGTTTTATTGGCACAACACAAATAATCAATTAAGCTGGAAGGCGTGAATTGTTGCAAATAAAAATGATATCTATTTAGTTATTATTCTGAAATAGTTGGCTATTTTTGCTGTACTCTTTTGTAGATAAATACGTTTGACTGCAGCATCTTCTGTGATATTTTCATTCTCCAAATCTCAATACAAGTTTAACTATTAAATCTTGCAGCTTGCTCGGTGCATGTAACTTTTGAGAGCAGCGCAACAATATTTTTTTTTTTTTTACGTAGAGAAAATGAAATGCAGTACCTAGTAATTAAAAAAAGGTTGTTCAGGGTTATTGAAGTTTGGTTAGGGATCATGTTATGCTGTCAGATTTAATAAGAGGTTGAAATTAGGAATAATTATAAGAAATTACATTAGATTATCTTTAACTCGAGGTTAGAGAATTTGTATTGAAAAGTAAAAACTATAGTATGATATTAACCCAGATCCATGAAACAGTTGAAGCATATCCTCGGTGGAAAAAAAAAAAAAAGTCTGTTTCATCTGTAAAGTAGGATTTATGTGCGGTTCATTTTATCACCAAAGTCCCAGATTTGATCTCTTTAGTGAATAACTTTTTCATGTTGGAGTCACATATCACTTTGATCAGTGTCTCATATCACCAATGCCGTAAAGATTATTTCTTGGATTAAGCAATAAAGCATATTTTCCTGCATTGAGATTTAATAGATTAATTTCCTTTCTATAACCCAAGATATGAGCATAGATGTCTGATAGTTTAAGAAGCTTTTGTAAGCATTTCAAGGAAAACCTTAAAGAAGCTTGGAAAGGGAAATTTTGTTTGCTTAGGTTACTTTTCTCAAATCCTGCACTTGCGCTCATTTTTTTTTTTTTTTTTTCCATGACTGCATTACTTAAGTATTTGGAAGTATAATAAACTTTATTCAGCCTGATAATGCAGGTAGCAATCTTTCTCTCTCTCATGATCTGCAACCTTAGAGCAAATTGATTACCTACAAGCTAGACATCTTAGAATATAGCCCATTGACAAATCTGTGAAGCTACACTTCACGTATAAAGATGCGAGGAACCGTGTGATTTGCTGGAACAGCAAGGACAGAAAGCAATACTGATTTGCTTTATGTTATATCTTACATTGAGTTTTTAACAATTGATTTATCTACAGCTGAGCAGTGTTACCTTCATAACAGTGGGTTGTTACAGTTTCTATATAAAATTATGTGTAATTTCAGCTTCAAAATACAGATTGATTGCCTGTGAGGAGTGATTTGTTGTTGTTTTTGCACTCGGAGTGTTGATACTCTGCAAAACAAATCCACTTTCATTTTAAATGATTTCTGTTTTGAGAAAAAAAAATTTTTTACAGTAATTTGCACTGGTCAATATTGAATTGAAAGGAGCTGCTGTAGGAAAATGTCAATTGCATTGTTTAGCAGTGTGCTTTATGTTTTATAATTGTGTGTTTGTCCTTTATCTAGCCCTGATCAATACCCATCATTCCCTTCGCCTCTAGCAAACCCAATTTAATTACAACTGTGGCTGCAAGGAGTGATGCTTTGCTTTTTTGCCCACTGACCAATGTGTCCTCTCTCTTGTTTTGCAGATGATGAAGTTCGCCTGGGATAACTACAAGCAATACGCCTGGGGCAAAAACGAGCTGCGGCCTCTGACAAGAAATGGCCATATCGGCAACATGTTTGGTGAGTTTCTGCAACTTGGCTGGCCTTGAAAAATCCCAGAAATGTTCCTTCTTTTGACTACCTAGTAGTTGTTGCAACCTTTATGGTCTGAGCAGGTTTCTTCTGCAAAGCAGAACAAAGGCAGACCTAAACAAAAAAAGAAGTTATCAGGTACATCTCAGGAAACTAGAATGTCATTGAAAAGTATTTTTTCTCTTTTTAATTATCGGAATTAAGAATGTGAGACTCTTTTTTTATGATAAATGGCTTTCACTACATGAAATTGATGGTGTGAGAGAGAGAGGGTGAACCACAGATACATTGTACACTTTAGGACATCCTTGAATCGCAGGGGGAAAAAAGCTACAGTATTAGATCTTTAGAAAATAGCTGTCAGGTCTCAGAAAAAAAAAAAAATCTGGTGTCAGGGAAAAAAAAACTATCAGAGCCTCTTTCTAAATTTAAAAGTTGTTTTTTTCACAGATGTTTGAGTTTAATAAAGCTACATTTCTACCTAAAACATCTTCAAAGTTTAATTTGGATAATGAAAAGTGCAGCATATCAATTTATTTTCTAGGTTTATCCCCAAAGCCTGAGAACCAGTTTTTATTCACGCTTTTCTTATTTACAAAGGCTGAATAAAAACCTAGAAAGAAAAGGTCATTGCAGAAGAAGGCGTCTAATCAAAATGCTGTTTCTAGCCATGTTGATGGGCAGTTGGGTCAAAGAATAAGTGAGGTACACAAATCCAAATCCTTAAAATTAACACAAGGAATAACCCTTTTAAAATGTTTCAAGTAGATTCAGAAGGTGTGGTTCTACTGTTTTAAAAGCCACCCCTGTAGAACCTCGGGGTGTTTGCCTCCATACTACACCACAATGATACTGGTTCTAGACAAAGGAGTCCGCACCATCTTGAAGTACATGCATTGTATTCCTGCTTGGAAATTATTTTCAATATGTTAACACTTCTATGTGTCAAGACTCAGAGCGTTGGACCTATAATTCAGGCACGCAGAGTGAAGTGATTTATAAACAGCGTTTATAATCGCTCCAAAGCCAATGACAGTGAGTAAGTAGAAGTCCATGCTAGAAGATCAGAGATCAGAAGAGGTACCAAGGGAAATCCAAGCCGGGGTTGGGAGACAGATCCAAGGTCGTTAGCAGGCAGAATCCAACGGAAATCCATAGACAGGTCTGGCCAAACAGATCAGAGCAGGGGCAAGCAAAACTCAGAAGTCCAGGGGCAGAAACTTGTCAGATACCAGGTAATCAGAACCACATTGAGTATGCTAGAGAACTCTCAGCTACGGCTCGAATAATCTGGCACTGATTGGTGGGAACTAACAGTTTAAATAGGAACTGGAACAAGTGGATATGATGAGTGATAATGAAAAATGGGCGGAGCTATGCAGGTGGATGAAATAAACCAATAACCCAGTGATAAGTGCCAAGATCATGACACTATGCTTAAAATCCTTGTTTCTGTTGGGGTTACATAGAAATTATATGACAAAAAAAATGTTGTCTTTATAGTAAGCCACACTCATCAGATGAAGACAATTTGGGTGTTTAAAACATATATATATATTTTTTATGGAATAATGCTTTAAAGCTTAAGATGCACCTGTAAATAGATGTTGCATAGTTTACAGAGAAAAAAAGGTTATATACAACTTTAAATCACAGTTTAAATTTAAAGTATTGTTATACAAAAATCCCTTTTTATGTTTATGTAGAGCAAATTTTCATTATCTTATTAAAGCTGCCTTAACATTTAAAGCTGAAGTCTGTAAGTTTTTAAAAATCACTTTTTTGTCATATTGGCTAAAACTGTCCCTATGCCCAGACAGCAGTACATGTGATATGTAACCTGTGAAAAAAACTGCTTCAATTGGTCCCGCATACTGCCTGTATTTCAATCTGGAAAGAATAATTTGGGACGAGTCAAAACAACCAATCACAGCCAGAGGAGCGTCTGATGGAGTGTCAATCACAGCTCACACACGCTGAATTACGCCCCCCCCCCCTTCTGGTCGCATGCGTTAGCCGCGCAGGTGCTGTGAGAGGGGTGGAGCTTGGAGGTTGGGCATGAGTGAAGCAGAGAGGGTGGGGGAGTGGCGTGAAACCTGTTTTTCTTCAAATTTTCAGTCGAAGTCTGCTCTCTCCTCAATGTTACAGACTGCAGCTTTAAGCCAACAGTGAACAGCTTTCCTTCGAGCCACTTACTGTATGAATCAGGACAGAAATAACAAAACAATATTGATCATTTCATTTGTGGGCAATGCTCAATTCTGCCATAGTTAGACACAGACCCTTTACAACCTAGAAAGAACTCTGCACTAAGCCTGTGTTGATAAGTATTATATATATAAACACCCTGCTATGTTTTATCCTTTTTTTAACATTACTGTTAATTGTCTCCAGCTTTATTATTCATTAAATGTTTTATGTCATATTATTGAATCACAATTTGACTGAAAGGATTTTTAATGGAAAGAATTATAATTTTAATATGTATTATAATGTCTACACTTAGAAAAAAAAAAACATCAAATAAAATAAAGGAAATCTTGATCAATAAAGATGTCACATGTTTATAGCAGTTTGTATTTCCTGTAACTTATGATCTAAATGATTTATGAAGTTAGACTCCTGACATAAATTGCAACAAGTTTCACATGTTTTCATCGTATTTTGCTTTTGGCATTACGTTTGCTTCAGCTTCACATGAAATTTCCCACAATACCAGGGGAATGCATCTCTATCAGCCCTCTAATTGGTGCTAGATCCTGAGGGGTCCTCAGGTCCTCTTCAGTGGAGCATATCAGGCTCTTCTCACTGCTGTGCTTGAGGGAAATCCCACAATGCTGCCCTCAATAAAAGGTGGATCAGCTCTTAATAAGACTGGATTGGTAGTGTCTTCTATACCTGAGGTCCCACTCCCTCTTATCTGTAGGGATTCAGCATTATTGAAGACGATGATGACACAAGCTTTTCTCTCACTTTTTTTTAGCCTTGTTCCCTTTGGTGCTGCAGTTCCTATGAGGCTGTGAAAAAAAGAGCTGTTAAATCATATGAGGGATTACATTTCAAAGCAACTCATCCACAATGACTTTCTTATGTAAAGTAACAGAAACAGTTTAATATTAAAAGACAGTTGAAGCACACATTTGAAGTACATTTTTCAATAAAATACCTCTGCTATCATTTGCTGACGCAGATAGTGAATAAAATTAAACATTTTAATTAAAATAAAGAGCATTTCATTAATTTATTGTTTCATTCAGGAGAAATAAAACTTTTCTACTGTAGCTGTTTTAGAGCAAATCCAGGGCTGGTGCTAAAATCTGTTCTAACAAATTCTTTAGCTTTGATCTAAAACATAGTGTTAACCTCAAGTCTTTAATGTTCAAATAGAAAGGAGTGTGTCTAGAGCAGTTTTATTGTATGTGATGGTAGTTTGTTCTTTCTGTTCTCTATGTGGCTGGTCTAAATTGCCCTAAACTGCTCCAAGTAATAAAAATCAGGGGGAATTTTACAGTATGCTGGGCGCCTCTAGCTCCTCTAGAGCAGTCACGTGATGAAACACAGCTGTGATGTCAGTGTAGTCAAACGTCCTCGGGTGGGTTATAGAACAACTACTTTATGCATTGTTAAAAACTCTGAAAGGTTTTTTAAAACTTTGTTATAATGGTCTATTGTACTGCTGCCAATTGTAGGAATGGCTCTAGATCTGCTTTGCATTGAAGTTCTTCCGGAAAGTAAATAGATTAGACAAAAATCCACCAGACAATCTGTGGCATCCAAGCAGATACAACAAACTGATGTTTCATCAGTTGGATTCAATATACCAAAGTTGCAATGGCTTGTTTTTTTCCGTTGTATAGCTTTAATAAGGTGCCTAATGGCAGTAAAGCTCATTCAAAGCATTCTTTATTTTTTATGAAATATTTTATTTCATAAAACAACAAACGCTAGCTAGTTGCACAGTTTAATATAGCTGCAACGGCATGAGCCGAACTGGGTAATAACCACATCCGAAGAGCAATGTTTCCCACCCGGACAGCAGAGAGGATCTGGTGCTTGGACCGCTCGCTGCGATAGGATTACGCAGGGACCACTTTCCACATCCTGATATCCAGAACCACCAGCACCCCTCACACACAGCACAGCAGCATGTGGAAAATGTTCTGAAAAATACTGAACCTTCACCAGCTCTGCTTAAGATCCAAGTTAAACCAGCAAGCAGTAATAAAACCCCTAAGACTCTGATTGCTACGTATTCGTCCTCCTTAAAGGGTAAAAACTCCAGTTTTACATAGCTAGTCAATAAATATTGACTAGTTATGTAAAATGACTACTCCCTGACTAAACTGATGTCACGTCATCCTACAGTACCTCAGTGGGTCACGTGACCGAATGATGAATTTTGGGTCGTCTGCTATCTTAGTGAATTATTTTATGCTATAAATAACAAAATGCAGGACATTTTTTCACTTGTGGTGTATTTAATTTTGTACATACTATCAAATAACAAACTATAAGTATGTGTTTTCTACTTGAACAATAGAATCAAATAGTTTGGTAATTAAAAGGATGTTATAAAACTCTAAAAAAAACACCTGTCCAAACGAAGCTGGTTTCAGTGTAAGTGACAAGCTTCTTTGTTGGTCATGGGTCTCATCACTGCGAAAAGGGCCTTGAAACCAAAATAGTTTTAATCAATCGATGAGATTTGGTTTCAGGACAGTTTCCTCGTAAAGCTAACCAAGCTGGGGCACCGTTTGGAGAGTTGAAGTCATGTGACCAACGCTGAGCAAATAGTAGTGATCATCTGTCCGAATGGTCCGTTAACTGAGTTTACTATAAAGTCCACCATATAGTCCCTGCTGTCTATAGTGATTGAGGGATTTAGGGATTAGGGCAAATGTTCGGACACAGCCTAAGTCTGCATCCTACTTCTCTCTGCTGTACCTGTATTGTAGCACTATTGCGCCACCCGCTGAACTGAATATAGT